CCAGAGAATGCGCTAATAGGAAATTGTTTTTGAATGGGTTAAGGGAAGTTGGGAGATTCATTTATCCTGTTAGCTATGATATGCTGATTAGGTGGTCATGGATAATAGCAGCTTTTACAGATCACTGGATTAAAAGTCCACGTAACACAATAGTTGCTGAATGCAACTATACCCTCTTTTTGAGCATGGATACGAAACTATACAAGGGGTAATTGAGACGCTCTGAGAATGTGATATCAACACTAAAAACACTCACTCCACTTATTATTCAATATGCTCCTTTCTGACATTTAAATTGTGATCGCTGTGTTATAAAACAGACACTTCTGTTTCCGCTTATGCATGCTCAGTGTGTATTTTTTAAAAATAAAATATAAGACTTTCAAGGTAGTATTCTTAGGCAAGTAAATACTTTATATTTTAAACGAGGCCATGCAGTTGCAACACAAGTCATGTGCGCACACTAAATGTTTACGAACACGTTTTATTTGGTAAACATACTCGGGGTATTAATCACGTGATTGACGACAGGTAGTTTATGCCAATATTCGTTGGTGATTTTATTCCCCAAAACTACCAATATATTTTTAGCAAATTATTATTTTTTTGCTCAGAAATTGATGTGAAAGCAGTTGCCACCCATCGCATAAATCGGACCTCGTATCAAATGTCACGATACAGCGCCAAAGCGTGTGTGCTTTGCAGTGAGTAACAAACAGAAAACTTTAATATTTTTTTTTTAACAAAACAAAAAAAACTCGCGCGGTTTTAAGATGTGCCCCATTGTAACAAAAAAATTGCGCAGAGCAACAAAGTCGGCAGTGAAACGTTTAATGCCCTCGAGAGGGCCCGGGTCAGCCGCAGGTACCGGCGCTGATGCCTGCCGAGCGACTTCATAATCACTCGAGCTCGGCGGCTGCTGCGTGAGCCGCCGCCGCCGCCGCCGCCGCCACCGCCGAGCCTCCGCTGCCCGGGACTCCCGTCCCAGCCGGGGCCCCGGCGGCCTGTGCTCCGAGACAATGCCGCGTTGTTCTGCCCCAAATAACTCCCACATGTTACAAATACCTTAATGATGCAATTATTTGCATGGCATCAGTCCTTCATTAAGATTCGTGCTTTGGGCTCCAGAAAGCATGGCGCGCAGCAGCGCAGGTCGCTTTGCAGTTTGTCTCCCTGGCTGCCCGCACAGCCCCGCTCACGGAGCCAGCCCAGGCTGCTCCTCCATCCCTCGCTGCTCACCCCCCCACCCCCGCCACCCCCCCCCCCCAGCCCCTCCTACGTGCCCCCACTACCCTCGGCACGCAATTAGTAAATCATTTTAATTCCCCCCCCCCTCCTTTTTTTCAGAAATGAGTCGGTGGTTACCAAATTTAAAAAATTACTTTGGAGTTAGGATGCAGTGCGCGCAATTGGGAGTGCTGCGTTGTTTCAGCTGGGTCCCCGTGTGTGCGCGCGTGTGTGCATCTCACACACGGGGCGCGCCGCTTGTTGTTGTCTGCCGATCAGCCTCCCGTTGCCAGAGGTCTGACCTCCTCGCTGTTTAACGTCCCGCGATGGGGGTCACCGGCCACGTTTTTGGAAATGCGGATGGGCGGGCTGACTTTTTTTTTCCTGCTCCGTATATCGTCCTTTCTTCAAGAGAGCCGCTGCCGCCGCTGCATTGCATTCGGTGATCAAAACAACAGCAACAACAAAAAGACAACACGAAACGCTTGGAAAAGCACGCGAGAAATTGAAGCGCTAAGATTTTTTTTTTTTACCCAACCGGAAAAAAAAATTCGGGTTTTATTTCCGCAGGTTCGCATCGAGGCACGGCTTTTTGGACTGCCTGACAATAGCTTTAGAAAGAAAAAAAAGCTTTTAAAGTTACTTTGAGGAGCTCCGCCGTAGAGTGTTCGAGCAACATTAAAATGTATGCCGTGTATTATGATTAATATCTGCCACAAACCGTGATTTCAGGACGTCACATTGACGGGTTAACATAAATAAGTTGGCTTGAGCAGGGCACGTCACAAAGAAGTGACGATGGCCGGTGGTCGAGACGACCAACGGAGTGGCAGCTAGAGGGGTGGAGTGTGTACCAGAGGACGTCGATAGAGATGGAGTTGCAGTTGGGTGGATTGTTGCATCGTGAAGCCATGAGGGATGGCCACAGCTCGTGGAGGTCTTCATCCAGTGGTGATTGGCCGTGGATGATTTATGATTTCATCAGATAATAACAATACGATTTATGGTGGTGTTATTAACATTATTTTTGTAATCTTGATTTGAAGCTTTCATGACTGCAGGAATCCATACTCTCTGGTTCTTTCGGTAATCACAAACGTCCGTCACCTGATGACGTCCGTCATCAGGTGACGGACGTCATCAGGTGACGGACGTCATCAGGTGGCGGACGTCATCAGGTGACGGACGTCATCAGGTGACGGACGTCATCAGGTGACGGACGTCATCAGGTGACGGACGTCATCAGGTGACGTCCGTCATCAGGTGACGGACGTCATCAGGTGACGGACGTTTGTGTTGCAACCAAAACGTCTTGTTTTCTTTTATTATTTTTTCTATGTACGTGACTTTACCGAAAGAACCAGAGAGTATTGTTTTTGTAAGTGTGAGTGCTGAGAGATTTGGTTAATTGTAATAATTTGTCACTATTTGGGGTTGCAATTCAACTGAGGATTCGTTGACAGTTTATTGTATCGTTTCTCATTGTCTTTTGTTCGTAAATTTGTCTTCTCTTCATTAGCCTCATTTCAAGTTTATCTTAGGCTAATAATTTTCACGTGATTTGCATAATATTTACATAATACATGTTCACACGTACGATGCAATGCATCAATCGCTAACGTCAGAACGATGAAAAGTTGCTTTGATTCATAACTTGTGCTACTTCACGCTTACAAACAATGTTTTGTCATTAGCTGCCGATGTCTTATGCTAAGGATATTATCGTACAACCCTTTGTCACGCCAACCCGTGATGAATATCTGCCTACACCTCGTTGTTTCTCTTGAAGCACGGGATTCTCTGTTTAATAGGGGCTGTGCAAAAGGCAGTAAACCATGCACTGTTCCAAGGTGATATTCTGCCATGGTATGTCTCTATTAAGGCAATACTGGATCCCAAACCAAGTGGAATATTTTAATCACTCCGCCCTTGATTCATGGTAATATCGTCTCAAATCCTATGAGCCCAAATGCAGCTGCATGTTCTGGCTGTCTGCTATTAATCCTCTGACGATGAACTTTACTTCGGCCTCGTTCCAGGCTAAGGGATCCTTGCTCGCAGCACAGAGGTGGAGCAGACTACCGTGGCCTCCCTGCAATGCAGAATGCCTCTCTGGCTTGACTGAGTCTTGCGCCATGGCAGATGCAAATTATGACAAACTTTGTGGATTTCATTGCAGCGGAAACAGGTGGTTTGACGAAATATCAATCTCATCGAAACTCCGTTGTGGCGTTTGCAATTTCTTTTGTATAAAATGTAATTTCCAATGATGCTATCAGCGTCATGTCATGAGACAAAAAATACATCTATTTTGAAATCGCAGAGCGGTTCGACACATTTGGCACAGATTGGGGGCCCCAGAAAAGATTTTTCGCTGGACTTCAGAAAAAAAAAACCTTTCCAATGGACTCTCTCTCCTTTATGCAGTCAGGGGGCGCACTTTCCCACAAACTCCGCTATGAGATTGGTGCACGAGGCAAAGCGATATTTATCATTCTGAGTGCTGGAATTTAGCCACATTGAGTAGAAAACCGAACAATACATTGGCGTGTTTCATGCAGTTATTGGTGATCCTTCTGATACTTATCTACGTGCTATCCAGGTTTTTGATCATCCAAAATTCAAACCCCATTCTCATCATGAAGAGATGATCAACGTGAGTAGGAGGCTTCTAAAAGTAAAATGTGATTAATTGTTTTTTTTTTCCTCCTGAAAGTAAAATCACATTCTCGGGTGCAGTGAGTTTGACGTCAGATGTCTAAAGTATTTCTACACAATTTAAACTATTCTAGAGCATGTACAAAAAATTATGGCGTTTGTATTGTGATTAGGTGAGGCCTAGCTCTGAGTACTTGTTTGATAGGCCTGCATGAAAGCCCCTTGGTCAGCCAAAGTAACAGACTCCACTTAGTTTATTAAACTTTCCCTCAAGGATTTTAGGGAAGGTCACGATGTCTCAGACTGGCCATTCTGCAACACGATACTTTGCTCTGCTGCTGTTCTAGGGAATTCTCTCTCTCCGAGTGAGTGAACTTTGTTAGGTGTGGTATTCCTGTTGCTGTATTACAGTGAGATCAGCATCGCCATGATTGCAATATTTTGCCAAGTTTAAAATGTCATTACATCTCGAAGTTGATTCTAAACGGTTTAACATGTGGACCAAAGGCCCACAGATTTATAAACACAACAACATACAACCAAATACAAAATAAACATTCCATATATATCATAAAGAGCACATCACATTTGTACAATAAAACAGCAGACGTGAACGCCACTGATTGTGGAAGCATCTCTCCCCTGAGGAAACGAATGCTGTACCCCTTTTGTCCGCTGTACTTGCAACTGGGCCATGCCGAGGCAGCCCTGCACCGCTCAGGGGGCGCCCGGAGCTGCTGTGCCACTCGCGTCGCACGCGGCGAACGCGTCGTCGATGCACCTACGCGGCCCGGTGCCTGCGCGTCCTCATGCCGAGCGAAGCCGCGGCAAGCGAACGCCGCCGGTAGCCCCGCCGCGGCCCCGCTTGGGCCCTCCAGTCCAGATTCGGACGTCTCACGAGGCCAGCGTAGTCCAGCTCGGCACGAAGGTTCGCCGGTGGAAAGCCACACGCGCTGCGAGGCGCCCCGCGCTTGCTCGGCTCGGTCGAGCCAGCGGGCATAGAGGTGTTAAAGTAAAGTCGCGCCATTTAGTTTTGGTAGCTGAGTTAATTTATTTTGTTGTGGCTGACGATCGTGGCTGCCCTGTTCGCCCCCCCCACCCCCCCCTCTCCCTAGAGGGCCTCCTGGTCGTGCCGGGGAGCGGCTTCTCGACGACGCCTACCGCCTGCTGCCACGCTCGCTGCCGTGGCCCGACCACACCGCGCTGGCCGCGGCTCGTGCTCTGATTCACCTGCAGCGGGCGCACGCTGGCCACAACCTCAAGCTCTTCCGCAAGCTCGAGCAGGTCGGTGGGCCGGGCAAACGCTCGTGCGGCGCCACTCAATGCGAAGTGAAACCGCCGGTCTCCACTCGTCAGAAGGATTAGTTCATGAAACGAAACCGACAAATTAAAATGTCGCAGGCATGAGGTATGTATGCTGTCGGCAGGGGGCCTACAGCGGAAGGACAGCATTCTCACGGTTAGCACGCCGGATTTGCAATCCAGAGGTCGTCGCTCCGATTCCATTTCCCGGCACGGCAGTTGAAACAACGGTGGAAGGTTTTAACATTTCCACTCTCCCCGCTGTCTCTTTGGACTCAGCGGTGTAACGGGGTCGCAGCACAGCTAGCCTCTTGGTAGGGCACGTGTGGTGGGGTGTCGTGTGTGTACTCCCACTTCTTCCAAGACATCTGACTAGCGTGGAAGAGTAGGCCAAAACACTCTCGAGAGCCTTCTCCTTTGGGGAGACCCATCTGCTAGCATGGCCTGAGCAAGCAATTGAAGGGCTGCACCTTTGCCTATTCTCACTTGTTCACCCTTGTACAGTGCGTAAAAACAACAGCATTAAAACGTCACAACATATAAACCACACCTTTGAGTACATTTTGGAGTGCAACAAGATAACACTCGCAGAAGTGTAGAGACACTTTATCTTATTTTAATTATTGTGCTTAAATATACGTGAATGTAGACCATCGTTGTTAACTCTCTGGCGGCTACTCAACAAGTCATGCATTGCACATTCATGTCCAGGATCAGTGGCAAATGTTTGCCTGTGTGAAGGGAGTTCATGTAAATGTGACCTTTCAACTGGCGAACCGAGCAGGGCAAGTCAAGATCGTCTTCGGCGCTTGCTGAAGCAAAACCTGCTTAGGTGCTCCCAAAGTACGAAAGCACAGCGGTGGCACAGTGAAAACACCAGCGCCTCACAGCAATACGTGCCTGGGTTCGATTCCCAACTCGGGTGCCGTTCTGTGAAGAGTTTTATGGTATTCTCTCCCCCTGTTCTGCATGGGTTTACAACGACTTGACCGGGTATTTTGGTCAAACATCGCAACGCTGAAACATGACTTGCAAGTCACACAGCAGCCTCTCCCCCCCCTCCTCCTACTGCACAAGCTTGGCAGGACCCTCCTAAGAAAGAGCTTTGAGAGGCAGTGAGGCTTCCCTGGATGAGGAGGCATCGTCGTAGTAATAATAATAATACGAGTGCAGTTTGTAAACTCACATACGCAGTGTGTCCGTGAAACTGCGGGTTCGCCATGGTGATCCGGTGTGCGATGTTACGTCACTTTGCTTCACAAGGCCCCTGCTATATCCACAAACAACACATTGAGCCCACGTACAGCTCGTAATTTGCTCACCAATTCCGTAGAGTTCCGCTCCACTGCACTCTGCGACACAGCACTAGAATGGGATTCCACTGGCCCCGTGGCCAGCGCAGCGTGGCGACGCCGCTGGCAGCACCGCTGGCAGCGAAGCGTCGTGCCGCTCCGTTTTTTGGGTTTTCGCGATGAAGGGGAAAAAAAAATCCCAATATATTTATTTTATATATTTTGTTGCAAAAACATCGACGGCACGTGGGACATCACAACTATCAGCAGATATTGTCATGCGTTAATTTTGATTTCCCCTTCTTAATGTATTCTTTAGATAGACAAGTATACGGACGTGAGCATTCATACATTCTGCATATACACAAAGACACAGATCCCCCCCTCTGTAGCCTCAACAGATTATTGGAGCAGGTACTGCGAGCGGGCGGCTCTGAAGGCCGGCACGGCACAAGAGCGGGTGGGTAGCCAGCACCACGTCCGGCCGCCTTTGTCTCCCCGCTCTTGATGTTTACATACCGCAACAGGTACTCATTGGAGGCTGACCCGACCTCGGAAAGGTCCAGCACCGGTTCAAATAATCGTCGCTGGTGTTGCTCGTGAGCGGGATTCGAACTCGGGTCGCCGGGTTCGTAGTGCAGCGCGCTAACCGCTGCACTACCGCTCCCCCGTAGTATACACAGTACACACATGCACAACAATTTGTGCACTAACACACAGAGGACCGTGACTAAGGAATTGTATCGGATTGTTGTGATTCTTTGTCAATGGCCATGGCTCACCGAGCCAGATGTAGATACCTCTGGGGTTCTTGTTGCAGTTCGCTGTAATTTCCCAGGGCTCGCAAAGACGTTGTGTCAAGGGCAACACAGATGTGGCTGACCTCTCCGTTCTTATTAAAGCAATTCACGTCTAATCTCTTCACTTACTTGAAAAATTGATCACCAGGGTACCTGCAGGGTATTTCCTAATTTTGACGGTCAGAGTGGAGTTGTTATTTAAAATACAGATTTTAAGCTGTAATTACGTTTAGCAGTTGAAAGCGTTTCCTCTTCACCAATGTTGCTCGTGGTAATTAGACTCCATACTTTTGGATTTAAAGCAGAGCTAACGTGTACCTTTAAAACAAAGCAAAACAATTCTCGTGAAATTATCAGGGGAAATATATATTTATTTAAATATATATTTAACGTATAAATATATTTACATTTAAACCGAAATCATTGCTTTCTACACACCCCCGCGTAAACGCGCGACTACAGCAGGCGAGTGAATGTTGAGAGCTAAACGGTTTTATTTCCTGCCGTTTGGTCCCCACAGATTCTATGCAAGCTGGGGGAGAGCAACGGCCATGGCGGTCGGATTCTCGAGGCGCTGAGGCAGCGGCTCGGCTCTCTGCTGGCAACGGGCGAGGTAACCGTATGCACCTAAACTCGACTGTGTTTTTTTTATTTTACCACGTAAGGCCCACGGAGCTACGCAGTTCTTTTTCAGACGCGACCTGGCCACAAATGGTAGCCCAGTGAAGTGGCTTATCACGTGGAATTTTATAGCAGCCAAAATCATGTAAAACGTGGAGAAAAATCCACACGGCCACGGGGAGAACATGCAAACTTCAAATATACAGCAGCAGGCATCAGGGTCGGAATCGAACCCACGACCTCCTGCATACCAAGCGAGGTAGTCAACATCTCCTAGCCACTGTGGCTCCGCCACTATTCCCCTAGCGCCCACCCCCCCCCCCCTGCTCAGTGGCAACCGGCTAAACGGGATCATCAGTGTAACACGTAGACGAGACTCCAACTTGTCGTGGCATTACAGATAGCACCCACACTGTGTTACTGTCGCTGTGCCCCAGTTGTGTTGTGTACACCATCGGCGTCTATATCGCAACACAGCCAAGGCCTCTCGCAGCTTCACGACGTGTCCACCCCTCTGTCGGCGTTGGGTGAGGAGCTGTCCGTGCCGTGGGGGCCCTAGGGGCTACCTGCCTTGCGTAATGACGTCTGAGCTGGGTACGGTCCAGCAATAGGCTTCACTGCACCGTCCTCAGCTGACAATATAGCCCCGCAGTAACCTACAGCGCCTGTTCTTATTCATGAGGGTCGCCCATCCTTGCGCTATGCGGGCTCAAACCTGATGAGCTTCTGAAGTCTGATGAGGCGAGGTGCGGAACCGGGTTGCCAACGTCGCAATGATGCGTGTGTTTATTTCATCAAATAGCTACCAGAGGACAACCCTCATGCAAAGGTGGCTAAAGTTTAATGCACATGCAAGGCATACTTATGCATAGCCTGCTGCTAATAATGTAAAGTAATTGATATCGTGCCTATATAAATAAGCAATATGCAATTGTAAAATGATAGTTTGCGGCAGTATTCGATTGTACTATGCATGTGTAATGTTTGCAGCTTACATTGCAAGCAGGTTTGATGTGTTGATTGAATCTTCTGTTGGGCTTTGTCTTTATCTTGCGTAGTTATGCCGGGCGTGAGGATTCATTGTGCCATTAGCTGTAGTCGTCATTTTACCACAGTGGTGTACAGTACTGACAATTATATACTAATATAATGAGCCAAGAATGTGTGTGTCCCGCGCGTGACGTTACTCCACATGAGGCCCAACCCCCCCCCCCCCCTCCATTAATATTTATGAGTGGGTGGATTTTTACACTAACGCAGAGGAAGGTCGAGCTGAATGAAATAATTTATTACGCAAAGTCGCTTCAAATGACGGTTTTTTTTACAAAAAGTGACGGTGAAAAATCTACGCAGCACAGTGCTACATCCGTACGTGACGTCACTTCAAAAGAGCCCACCCCCCTCATTAATATCCATGCCCGCGTGGAATTTATACTAACGAACAAGAAGGCCGTGCCACTCCACATGCCACACCCCTCCACAATAACCATTAGCGGATGACGTCACTCCACATGGGGCAACCCTCCCCCCCCTTCATTAATAATCATGAGCTGAACAATGTTTCTATTGAATGTTTCAGATTTACCGCAATATACACCCGTCCTGGGACGGGCAGAAAAGCCAGTGAAATATAAAAGTAATGCGAGTACAGTTTTTTTCCCAGCACTGTAATCGCTGCCGTGTGATAGAAATGGAACGGTGCGCTCTGGCCCAGATGTATTGCGATGATGGATCTTAAAAGCAAGTGTCGAGAGTGAATCCCTCGTCGTCGCTGAGGAGTTGTACCAGTTTTGTGCACCTGGAGTTTGAGCTGTCGGATCACCACGCCGGGTCCCCGGCTTGATGCATCCGAGTTTTCTCTTTAACGAGTCGGATTTCAGTTTTGACGTTCCGTTCTTCTCGTTCCTGCGAGGGCCTCTTCTGGGGATGACCTCAAAACAAAGACCAAACGTCTTCGAAGAGGTGGCCATACCCAAACGTCTAATGGCGATAAGGGGGTCATTGTATTTGTTTGTCTTGAATGCAGGCAAGGCTGATGAGTCGGATGCCTTCTATGACCTCCTGTCCCAGGTGCTGGTTAAAATGGTCCCTCGGGATAGAGCCATCTCGTTGGGTGATCAAAGTTAGGATTTAGCTAATCCAAAGTGGGTTTAGAGGTTGATTTGTATATGAAGTGTTGTTTTATTGTTACCGGTACACTATGTGAAGTCAATAAGTGCTGTCCTTACATTATACTACATGTATTATTATTTTTAAACCTTGGTTTCGTTGGGCAACTCTGCTGCGTGAGGAGCGACGACGTTGACGATGACGTTGATGACGAGGTTGACGACGAGGTTGACGACGAGGTTGACGATGATGTTGACGATGATGTTGACGACGACGTTGACGACATTGATGACAAAATTGACGACGATGTTGACGATGTTGACGATGAGGTTGACGACGACATTGATGATGAGGTTGACGACATTGATGACGAGGTTGACGACGTTGACGACGAGGTTGACGATGAGGTTGACGACGACATTGATGACGAGGTTGACGACATTGATGACGATATTGACGATGTTGACGACGATGTTGACGATGAGGTTGACGACGACATTGATGACGAGGTTGACGACATTGATGACGAGGTTGACGACGAGGTTGACGACAACTTTGACGATGAGGTTGACGACGACATTGATGACGAGGTTGACGACGTTGACGACGAGGTTGACGACAACTTTGACGATGAGGTTGACGACGAGGTTGACGACGATGTTGACGACGACGTTTACATTGACGACGAGGTTGACGACGATGTTGACGACGATGTTGACGACGTTGACGACGACGTTGACGATGACGTTGACGACATTGACGATGACATTGACAATGTTGACGACGTTGACGATGTTGACGACGACGTTTACATTGACGACGACGTTGACGACGATGTTGACGACGTTGACGACGACGTTGACGATGACGTTGACGTTGACGACATTGACGATGACATTGACAATGTTGACGACGTTGACGATGTTGACGACGACGTTGACGACATTGACGATGACGTTGACGACGTTGTCGACGACGTTGACGACATTGACGATGACATTGACGATGTTGACGACGTTGACGACATTGTCGACATTGTCGACGATGTTGACGACGTTGACGACGACGTTGACGACATTGACGATGATGTTGACGACATTGACGACGACGTTGACGATGTTGACGACGTTGACGACGAGTTTGACGACGACGTTGACGACATTGATGACGACGTTGACGACGACGTTGACGACGATGTTGACGACGATGTTGACGACGTTGACGACGACGTTGACGATGACGTTGACGACATTGACGATGACATTGACAATGTTGACGACGTTGACGATGTTGACGACGACGTTTACATTGACGACGACGTTGACGACGATGTTGACGACGTTGACGACGACGTTGACGATGACGTTGACGTTGACGACATTGACGATGACATTGACAATGTTGACGACGTTGACGATGTTGACGACGACGTTGACGACATTGACGATGACGTTGACGACGTTGTCGACGACGTTGACGACATTGACGATGACATTGACGATGTTGACGACGTTGACGACATTGTCGACATTGTCGACGATGTTGACGACGTTGACGACGACGTTGACGACATTGACGATGATGTTGACGACATTGACGACGACGTTGACGATGTTGACGACGTTGACGACGAGTTTGACGATGACGTTGACGACATTGATGACGACGTTGACGATGTTGACGACGTTGACGACGAGTTTGACGACGACGTTGACGACATTGATGACGACGTTGACGATGTTGACGACGTTGACGACGAGTTTGACGACGACGTTGACGACATTGATGACGACGTTGACGACGACGTTGACGTTAACGACGTTGACGACGTTGACATTGACGACGTTGATGACGATGACAACAATGTTGACGACGTTGACGACGACGTTGACGACGTTGACGACAACGTTGACGACAACGTTGACGACGTTGTCGACGTTGACGACAACGTTGATGACAACGTTGATGACAACGTTGACGACGTTGACGACGATGTTGACGACGTTGACGACGTTGACGACGACGTTGATGACGATAACAACGATGTTGACGACGTTGACGACAACGTTGACGACGACGTTGACGACATTGACGACAACGTTGATGACAACGTTGACGACGTTGACGACGTTGACGACGATGTTGACGACGTTGACGACGTTGACGACAACGTTGATGACAATGTTGACGACGATGTTGATAACGTTGACGACGACGTTGACGACGACGTTGACGACATTGACGACAACGTTGATGACAATGTTGACGACGTTGACGACGTTGACGACGATGTTGACGACGTTGACGACGTTGACGACGATGTTGATAACGTTGACGACGACTTTGACGACGTTGACGACGAGGGGACAAACGACGCCGCCGTGGTCCCTCGCATGACCCCGTGCAGCGGCGAGGAGAATCTCGTGCGGAGTTCAACTACAAAGTGCCGCCCTGCCACGCTGTTTTTCGCGGACCGCTCTGGGGAAACGACCTCTGCCGCCGCCGGAGGGCTTTGTGTTTTTAAACCCCGCCGAGCCGGGCGTCCGCCTTCTCCCGGCCCCGCCGAGGATCCCCCGGTCGGCTCAGTCATCCCGCGAGGCTGTGCGCGCAGGTGCACGGCATATGGCTGTCGGTACCGGTCTCGTGTCGTCTCTCTGGGCAGGTTTGCGTTTAGTCGGCTGCGGAAGCGGTGGGGAAACCCCCTCCCCGCCCCGTGCCCTGAAATCAAAGCGTTGACTCTGGAGCGGCTCTGATTGCGGTGTCCATCGCGTGTCTCTCTCCTCCCTCCGATGTGTTGCATCGCGCTCCTTCTTTTTGGTCGGTCAGCCGTTGAGAGCTGCGCAGGCTGTCAGTGCTGTCAAGGGTTCAGCAACACCTTCTCTT